GAAGTGACATTGCTCCCCACACGGGGACGCCAAGTTCTGAAAGCTAGAGGCTCCTCTCCTGAAAAGAGCCATGTGGAGTGTGAGGGAATTGGATTCTAGACAAAAACAACATGGAGCTCCAGCAGCCTGGTTTTCTTTGCCTACGGCTGCTGCAGCCTTTCAGTCAACTCAGAAGTGCACAGATATTCACCCAGACCTCTGGCTCCCAGCCCGGAGAATCCAGCACATCTGGTCCCAGAGAGGCAAGCAATAAGCCAGGTGAAAAGCATCGAATATTAGCAGATCGTCAGAGTTAGGAAATAGGTTCATAGGTGTGGCCATCGGAGAGAAAGGTTTTGCACCAGTGAACAAAATTGAAATAGACTGATTCTTCACATCCGTGCTACAACACATCCACTGTGGTTTGGGAAATGAGATAAGTCTTTGGAAAGAAAATAATCTTTTAAAACAGTGTTTCTCAAACTTGAGTAGTCATCTGAATCATCTCAAAGGATTGCTAAAGTGGATTTCTGGGCAACATCCCCAGGGTTTCTGATTTAGTAGGTTGCAGGTGGCACCAGAAATTTGCATTTCTAACAGATTCCCAGGGATGCTGTTGCTGCTGGTCCAGGGACACTTTGAGACCTCCTGCATTAAAAGACCTCCAAATACAAGTGACTTCAATATGCCTTTCTTCTTCACATAAGTTTAATATTTTTGAATGTTATAAATATGTGCCAATTTAACACATTTGTTGTCTAAACAAAGCATTTTATGAACATGACTTTTCAACATAATATATACATGAGAAGAAAGTTGTATTAGCATGATACAGTCGAGTCACTTTTTCTTTAATATGGGAAATAAATGGCATGTTTACATTTTATTTAACACACTGCCATGTGTCTTTCCAGGATCAGCCTGAGATAGAAGCCAATGTGAGTCTTGCGAGCTGGGACATTGAGAAGACAGCCATGTTCGCTTTTAATATCTCCCACATCAGTAACAAGGTTCGAATCCTGGAACTCCTTCCAGCCCTTACAACTCTGACGAATCACAACAGATACTTGATCGAATCTGGAAATGAAAATGGCTTCTTCAAAATCAACCAAAAAGAAGGGATCAGCTACCTCCACTTCACAAAGAAGAAGCCAGTGGCTGGAACCTATTCATTACAAATCAGTAGTACTCCACTTTATAAAAAGAAAGAACTTAATCAGCTAGAAGATAAATATGACAAAGACTACCTCAGTGGTGAACTGGGTGATAATCTGAAGATGAAAATTCAGATTTTGCTCCATTAATTCACCATCCAGAGACCAAATAATTAAAAAAACAAAGATAGATAGGTAGAACTGAATTTTTCTCCCAATCAGAATCTTCATATCATAGGTACAATCTTTTACCACATAAATTTCTATAAATAAGCACTATTCTTGTATTACAAAAGCAAGGTACAGGTGACTACCCTAGTTCCAAACAACCACTTTCTCAGGCTTCTCGTGTATGTAGCTAAGCTACCTTGTCATATGTGTCAGTTCTTGAAAGATGGGATGTGTATTTCCATTGAGGTTGGCTATTCATGCTCACATGCCATCCTTCTAGCAAACATACAGGAATGTGCTTTCGATTGATGGACTGTTGTATTTTTCAAATTGTAAACTTTGCTTCTCCAAATACAAGTACTAGGTTGGCCATTTCTAATATCTATTTGGTGCTAGTAAATTCTCAAACTAGATTCATAAATGCACTGTAATATTTACACAACTTAGAAACCAAATTACAAGTATTCAGCTCAAATACTTCATTAATTTCAATCAACCCAAGTTAGTACAGTAGCTTATCTCAGTTATGAGTATAATACATTACATGTAAATTAAGTGTGTGTATACTGTAATCGTGCTATTTTTTATCATTGAAACATTTATAAACTAGAATAATAATGCCCTTAATGTGAGGGTTTGTAATGGTGCTTATTAAGACCAAAGACTTGTTAAATGTGTACACCAAGTGGTATTGAAATTTCTGTGACTGGCCCACACGTGCATGGAGGTCTGGGAGGACCAGGAAACAGCCTCAGCAGCCAGAGGATCACCAGTGCATTCTTCATCACATCTGTGCAGTCTGCCAAGCTTACCCTCGGTCATTCTTGTCAACAAGGGGTCTATGTCATAAATGTCACAATAAAACAGTCTCTTCTTTTTTTAGTGTATTCCCTGGCTTTGTGTTCTTGCATGGACGTGGGATTGGAAGGGCTTTACTGGAGGCTAAATAAAGTCTCCTGAATGTAAATTATCCTAAGTCCATTAGTTACAGCTTCTAAAGGTGCCAAATGTATAACCACTAGAAGAAAACTTAACATATTTGAGTCAGTCCCTTATTTTGTAATTCATTTTTGACAGCAGCATTATGTCTCACCAATATGAAATTTAGATTGTAGCATCATTTCTAAAACATGACTTAATTACTCCAGTGACTTTTAAACTACTAGATTTAAGTGCTTTAAAATATCAAGTCATTGTCTTAGAGCACATGCGTTTCATTATAAAAGATTTATCATGCCCCCTCCCCTCAAATATACACACAGCATTGGCAAGCCTTAGGTGTTCCATCCTTCTTTTCCCCTTAAACATCTGTTGTTAGTCAGTGCTAGTCTAATTACAAAGGGATAATTCCAAATTGAATCCAATTGAATGCTATAACTCTTGATTTTTTAAATGTAATAATTTGAAAATACAGTTTTAAGTGCAACATTGAATATTTAACAATTTAAACTCATTCAACTGGTACGAAATGATTTTTAAAATCCTTAACACCAGTAAAGTAAAGAGTAGCGAAAATAAAGGTGAAATGAGATTGCTACATGAAGGGAGAAGAAACCATATAGGACACAGCCAAGTCCTCTGAAAATCTTCAAAGAGCTAAGCTAAAGAAGAAGTAGATATGTTTCAGAGGACAAAACCAGAGTCAGTTGGCGTAAAGCTCAGTTTAGCACATACCTTTCTAGTTTCAAGCTACTCTCTGAGAGAATGTTTCCTTGCAATGTGGTGAGTTCCCTGTCACTAGCTAGAGGGTTTCAGTTCAGCATAATGGCAGCCAGTGGATAAGGATGCTTTTTTCTACCTAACAGGCCATGAACATCTTGAAATATTTCTTGTATCTCTTATTTTGCCATGCAAAAAAAAAAAAATCTTGCTTATAATAGGTGCTCAACAGATATGAGTCAAAGAACTATTTTGGAAGAAATTTGTACCTCGCTTAAGAAGTTAAAATATGACTCAAAATTTCCTTTCTAATTCTGTGCCTTTGGTTCTATGATGGAAGTGTACTAAAATTGTTAGAGAAGAATATGGAGCATATGGTAAACAACAGTTTGCATACGGAAAATGTCTTTGATAATTTAACCAGAACTGCATTATATTCAATAATGGATATTCTTTATAACAAACAACAGAAGAAAATAGAGTTGGCACATAGTAGATCACTTTGATATTTTTAATAGTCTCAGTCTGGATTTTATTTATTTCAGAGCCAACAATTTTCAACCGCATATTTTCCATGTTTCTGACTGTAACGAAACATTTTCCTCATTGTTCCATTGTAAATATTCCTCTTGTTGGAACCCTTTTAATTCTGAGATTTAAACCTGTACCTTTTAATTGTGACCTTGCAATTTTACTTTCAATGGTTGAAGAACTTGGTTTTGTAAAACGCTCAGAAGCTTGAAAAACGTCTTGTCTCTACCCCCCAGCCCATTTCATTTGCCAGTAATTATTTTGTAAGTAGGGCTGAAATGAACTCAACTGGCCTTGTGAAATGTTAAACTTGCACAAACAACTACATTTTTGTTCAACAAATAGCACTTTACTCAGCCAAAATTACTTTGGACATTGCCATTACAAATATTGTTAAACTTCAGAAATCATGTTTGTAAATTAGAGGAATCAAAATAAAGGACAATTAGGTTGATACTATATTAGTATACTTAAAAGTTACATACCTATAAACTCTTAGAAATTTTAAAATCACAGTCAGCTTTATCCACAGAATGTACTTTGTTCTGATTTTAACTCTAGTTATATTCTTGGAAGTATATTAGAAATGTAATTGTTAAATGGTTTGTTTTTAAATGTTAGAAGATTATTACTTTTTCTAGATTAGTTTTCACATACATAGCTGAAGACAGAGTTATTTTCCCCTTGCCAATTTTAAACACTTTATTAAAAAAATTTACTTTATTAAATATTTTGAAACCCAATGTGAGCCTAATATTATGTATTGTTAGGAAAGGATTCTCAGTATTATTCTGAATTTAGGAATAGAGTGAAAAAAAGAAGGCTGTGAATTTGATTTTGCAAACTTCCATGTGTGTTCATGACTGGGTTCACTTACAGGATTGGGTCTCAATGAAAGGCTCTGACATTCTCACAAATGTCTATATAAACATGAGGGTCTTGTACATTTGACATCCAGCTAACATTTGGCAGGACCTGGCAATATCACAAAATCTGTTATTTCAACTAACTGCTAATGAATCCAAAATGTTTTTTTTGGCAAACAAAGCCATAAGCCTCTTTTTAGGACATGGGCTGTTTTGCATCCTTGATCCAAGCCTGAATTATGACCTCTACAAATGGACGTCAGTTTCATTTTTTTTTGGCAAACAAAGCCATAAGCCCTTTTTAGGACATGGGGTGGTTTGCATCCTTGATCCAAGCCTGAATTATTACCCCTTCAAATGGACGCCAGTTTCATTTTTTTATCCTTGAACAGTAGAAGAATCCTCTTTAACTGAATGAAGTCATAGCAGGTAAGTGGGTGTGATTTCCTGCTAGCTCAACTCTCTGCTTTCATTTTTATCCATTGTTCTTTTTGTTCCACATAAATTAATATTCGTTGTTATTTTTGATCCCTGTTACTATTCCCATTTCATAAATAAATGCATTAGTCTCTCTCTGCTCCCTTCTGCCCCTTAAGTGTTGGTTACATCGTCAGCTAGAAGGCATTATACTCAGTTTTTCTAGCATCCTTAGCTCATGTTCAAAGTTAAGTAACACTGAGGTAGAGACATTTAGCAGAAAGCAACCCTTCCATTGAGCAGACTCTAGGTAACTTCCATACTCCACCTGATGTGTTTGAAGCTGTGCTGGGAACTGCAATCATCAGAAGAGGTTTGTTTCCTTTTTAACATAAAATTCTCTCTGGGGGAGAATTAAATCAAACCTGAATGATTCAGCTTTTACTTCTGGAAATGAAGACATTTGAAAACATCTTGATGATAATTACATCTCCCATTGAGCTCACCAGCTATTGAAGGAAAGAGGTCACAGGCTTGTGTTGTTGTGTCTGCATGATGAGCTCTGCTCTGGGTGGCCCCCAAATCTCTGCTAGGTAGTAGGCTAGATCTGTCAGGAAAGATTAATGAGCCCTTGATATATCAATTTCAAAGGTCGGACAAACTGGATTGGGTTTGTGTGTATGTATTTTTGTTGCTACATGAGATCACCATGATGTATTGTTCAGCCTTTCTGTCTTCGGTCACACCAAGATTATACTCCTTCAGCGTGTTCACTGTACCTCTCTCTAGGGCAGTCCTGTGATCCAACTCCAATCATCCCAAGTAGAGTCGCAAGCTCCCCTGAGGCCCATTGCTTCCTACACGATTGTAGATTGACCATAGCAGGCTCTCTTGTGGGCCATTCACGGTAAGCTTTGAGCCCAGCAGTCAGTCTGCTTCAGAACCAGCTCCCTGGAAATAAATGGCTCCTGATCATGCCCATCCAGTCCGTGTCCACCCACACTGGTCTCATGTCTACCTGAGAAGACTTGGAAGTCAGGGACACCATTTCCAAAGGCTGATGCTCTCCATCTCACATTTTTTTCTCAGGGTCTGTGATTCTCGGTTCAGAGAATTTTGACCTCTCCTTGTCTCGTAAAGAAAATTCACTGAGAGTTCAGTATGGTCCTGAGTTCCTGAGGTCCTCAGGAGTGCCTGGTCTGGAATCCTGACTCTGCAGGAAATGCGAGGTCTGAAAGCTGTGCTCGAGTCTTAGTTCCCTTTCTAAGTTATTTGGTCACAGCAACTGCATGATGTCTCTAAGTCTCGTTTTCCTCATCGGTATTTTGGAATTAATAATAACACCTTCCCTATATCCTCACAAGATCAGTATTGTACATATGTATGCTGCCTCTCCTGTGTCATATAAGACTTCTGAAAGCAAGAGTCTGCTTCGTCCTCATAGCTCCATTGCCCAGTTTGGTGCCTGGCACACAGTAGGCACTTAATATGTATTGAATAAATCAATGACTAAGATTGGAGGAAGTAAAAATACGAGTGAAAATAGGAAAAACCATCTTCTCTCTCTTTGTCTTTGTTCTCAACAAATATTTTGTAAGCACTTACCTTATGCCACCTGCATGAAGCACTAGGGACAAAGATAAATGAAGCCAGGTTCCTAGCTTACAGGAACTTTAAAACAGGGGGAGACAAAGTAGTTCTCTCCCAGATGTATCTTTGGTAGAGACATGCTTAGACTGCAGGCTTCTGAAGGAAGTGGCAGGGTGCAGATGTCCTCACTTCCCACAGTCCTAGGAGACAGGGACAAGATATGGTTCTGTAGTAAATTCACCTTGATAGCTACAAGACCCCATGTCTAGTTCTTTACGAATCACCAAAATCAGAAACACCATTCTAGCATATCTCCCCCACAAAATACTGCAAAGTGGTGATTTTTCAGTGGTGAGTTCATTTTTAGAGTTAGATTCCTACATTTAAATGAAACTTACCCTGAAATCTAACATACATAATATAGGCAGAACTGCCTGAGTTAAAGCAGAGCTAGACAGCCCGAGGTCTCTTTACTCACTCCTTCCATGACAATTTTTATTGAAATTACAACTGAAAGGTGCTTCATTTATTTATTTATTTATTTTTCCCTCTTGAATTCTCTCCCACCCCCATCCTCACCCCCACTTCCACCCCTGACCTATGGATGTTGCTGTTTCCCCTTAAGAACTGGATCACTGAAGGTGGGGCGTCTCCCCCACCACGCATTCGCGACGCACACCCGGGGCCTGGCTCACCTGGGGCACAAACCCAGGACCTCCTGTGTGTAAAGCAGATGTGCTAACCACTACACTATAGAGTCACCCTGAAAAGTGCTTTAGAATCTTACTGATTCTACCAATGTAAGACAAATGTAATTTATAAAGTTAATTTTAAATGTTGACACAAACTCTAAGCTCATGGTTCTTAAATAAAGGCATTATAAACACATGTCAAATAAGGACAATATAAACATTTTCATAGTATTAACACATGACAGAAACGGACTAGATGCTCACCAACCCTGTTTTTTACTCCTGCGCCCACAAAAAGACTACATCTGCTAACTTCCTCTGAAATTAGGTTGGGGCCATTGAGATGTCAGAAGTACTAGATACCATTTCTAGGTATAGCCGAAAAAAATAATAATATCTATATAAATGTATATAGATATACATATGTACACGTGCACATACACAATCATCCATACACACAAGAAATAATCTTTATTACATTAAGCCACTGATATTTTGGGATTATTTGTTATATATTTATTATATTTATAAATATGTATATATGTTTATATATGTATGTATGGGTATATATTTATAAATATATATGTATAGTATATTTTTCTAGGCTGTATAGAGTCTTACATAAATTTATAAATATATGTATAATTACATTAGTCAGGGTAATTTTTATGTGTATATATATTTGTATTAGGGCAATTTATATATATCCACTTTTTTCTCACTACAAAGAATTCACATCAACCTTAGCTGCACATTAGAATGAGTCAGGGAGTTTTTAAAAATCACAATGTCCAGACTGTACCCCAGACCCATTCATTCAGAATCTCTGGAGTTGAGGTCCAGCCATTATTAGTTTTAAAAGCTCTCCAGGTGATTCCAATTTACAGCCAAGTCTGAGAACCACTGCTCCAAATCTTCAGGCCCACTGTGAAAGGCAGCTTGGGAAAATTCACCAGGTAATTCTGATATGCATCCCATCCACTGTTAACAGCTGGTCTACAGGTTGTTGGGTTGTCACATAATAACATCAACCTTGACATTTTCTGACTCTTCAAACAATATCTTTTCACTGGAGCCTACAGTGTGGCATCAGTAGGAAACAATCAAGCAGCAGAGAGGTGTGGATGTCGCCAGGTGGTTGCCAGTCTCATTAACCTATCCCATGACTGTCATTCACAGTAGCCTCGGGGCAAGACTGCGGTTTTTGCCCCCACACTGGGTAGTTCTCAGGGAGTCAACATCTCCAATGTGAAATCTATTCATAACAAAATGTTGGGGGAAAACCCTAAAAATATCTAAATCAGAAATAGGGCCCAGTTAACCCGTTTCCTCATTCCACCTTTACAAGGTAAATTAGTTCTTTTGAAGCAGACAGTTCTCTGGAGTGAAAATGGACATTTTCTTTTTAAGAAACAATCAATTTCTGTTAAGAGTATACAAGTTACATGGTGGGATATGGGGTCAGGCTACCATCCAGCCCGCTGACCTGACTCCAAGCTCACACCACTCAATCTTAAAATGTAGAAATAAAGACATGGTACCATTTACCAAGAATGAGTGATGCACTCTGCTACCTAAAAATTAAATCTCTAATATGCCTTCCAAAAAGTTTTCTGGTTCAGAAAACTGCAAAAGAAAAACTGAAGACAAAACAAGAACTACAAAAAAGTGGGATATTGTTGCCAGTATGAGTTAGAAAGAGGAACTTTAAAGTGTATTTTGAATAATAATGCTCATATTTCCATGTATTTCATGTGTGAAGGACTATCTGATTATAGATGATGAAAAAGATATGAAATAAAAAATCATTACAAATAAGTTTGAATGTTATGTCACATTCAATGCATGTAATTAATTTTCTATGTGGAATCTGAAGAAAGATTCATTTTAGTTCAGAAAAAAAAAAAACATTTTTTCCTTGTCTCTACTAAGTAAATGTTAAATAATATTTAAACACTATCTAGTTGAAGGCACCAAATCAGCCTGCCTAGAACAGCCACATGTCCATTTAGCCTGCCTTGAGATCTCCTAGAATAGTCCTTCTCAGACTTTGATGGACTCACATATCAGCTGTGGGTCTTCTTAAAATTATGAGTTTGAAAGTTTGTGGTGGGGCCTGAGATTCTGTGTTTCTAACAAACATCCATGTGATGCCCAAACTGTTCCAATAAAACTTTATTTATAAAAACAGGTAGCTAGCCCATAGTTAGGGTGCACTTGAGAAGAGAGTGTCACTTGTCTTGCCCTTAGTGTTGCCTGCAGACCACACTTCCAGGAGTGACGTCCTGGTGGACTGTCCCCTTGTTGTTCCTGGTCTGTGACTGATTCACGTGCACTTCACTTTCTAATCCCTCAGTTACGCCTCCCAGCTTCCCTCCACTCCACACCCCCAGTTCTCATCTCACACAAAATATGTTCAAAAGGCCAAATTTTCAAGTGGGTAATGGAATGTGTACTAATTATACATGTTTCTGAAAGTTTGGCTCTCCCTAAATGAAATTCCTATATCAGCGAAATAATTTTTTAAATGCTTTACTACAGTCGTAGATATTACATTTCTGGATGGTGCATATGTATGTGCAAGTGTGTGTGTCCAACCATTTAAATATTTTCTTGAATAGGGCCATGGAAAAAAAAGTTTGCCTCCTACTGGTTGGGAATTTATTCTCTATCTACTATCATCCAAGTACTCTGGCATAACTTTCCTTTTCTTACAGAGCTTTTGTCAGAAGAGTTAGGAAATATACTTATGTGTAAAAAGCATGTCAAATACTATGAGACTTGAACTTCAACTGCCTCTCCAATAATGGAAGACAGAGTTTGATTTTTATTAAGTAAGCTAAACTAACTTCAGATAATCCATTGTTCCTTCATTGTTCTTATTCTTAAATATGTGTCCTCTTCTTAAAAACACATTGACACAATTCCCAAAGTCTCAACATACCAATCCGATGAGACAGTTGATCCTCATCAACTTAATATTTATCCTGGGCAGAAGTGCTTAGCAATATCTTCCAACTTAGAGATTTCATCATGCATCTCGTGTCTGTAGCTCATTTACAAAAATATGAAACAAGATCACCTCTAGCATGGTTTCCTCATGATCTGTTTCCAAATACCTCAATAATCAGCCCCCTCCTTTCTTCATCTGGCTTCTGCTCTGTTGGTTACAACCCACAAAAGGACTTTTATCCAAATAGATACACCCATTTACTCACCGAGTCACAAGTTTACACACACACACAGAAAAAACTTTAAAGGGTGGAGTGGTGGGAAGCTGAGGCAACTAGACCAGCAGGGGAGGGTCGTAGGTAGAAGAAAATAAAGGGAGGTATGTGATGGGATGGGTGGGCGATGGGTGGCCTAAGACAGGAGATCATCAAAGAGGTGGCGCAGGAAGTTAGTTTTGCTTATGTTCTAAACCAAGATAGTTTTTGCCTCTTAGTAAATATTTATTGAGACTTTCTATGTGTTATGCACCATGCTAGGCTTTATGGCAAATGCAGAAGAGGTCTACAACATCAAACCATTACTCAAGGGATTTACCATCTAGTGAAAAGATTAACACACATGAAGCCACTGCACAGGAGTACATGTACACACACACACACACACACACACACCACATTCCAGAGAATAATTGGTTTCTACAATGTCCCAAGCACTTCAGAAATATTTATGCCTCATAATCATTCTGCAAAGTTAGGTACTATTCAACCCTTCTTATTAATGGAGAATATGAGACCCAGGAAGGGTACATCACACAGCTAACAAGTGGCTGAGATGGGATTCTGTCCTAAATTGATCTAACTCTGTTTTGGTCAAGAAAAATCTCAGTGGTTTAACTTAATAAAAGTGTATTTCTTGCCTGAAGTCTGCAGATATTCCTGGTTGGCTCTCCTGGAAAGTTACTGTCCAGGTGGAGACTAGGGAATCTAGGCACCTCTACTGTTTCCAATGTCTGGCACCCAAAATCATCAATAAAGAAGAAGAGTGACCATGGCAAATGAGATACTGTAACAGCCCCCGCCCAAAAGCATTGTAAATCACTTTTCTTTTCATTGCCCATAATTAGTTTCATAGCCCCAGTAAGATGCAAAGGGGTTGGGAAATGGAATGGCTGGGTAGCTGTGTCCCAGGAACAACCTGACCTAATGAAAAGAGAGCAAACATCTTTGGCCATCTCTGCTACAAACTCTAAAGCCACTAAACATCACACTTCTGAACCATACGAGGAAGAGCTAAATTATGTAGTGTTGAATTACAAGTTCCTGAAAGAAGTTCAAAGGAGCGGGAGATCATAAGTTTGGAGCAGAAAGAAGGGAACCTGAGTAGGGTAGTGAAATGTAGGTATGAGGAAGACATTTCTGGCTGAGAAGTACCACAGTGAATGTGCCAAGTTGAGAAAACAAGGATGCACTCACAGTTATGCTACGAGTTATATTTATGATGTGTATCACATGCACTGATATCTAGCACAGGCTAAGCTCCCAGGGGAGGGC